TTACATTCACGTAACTAACGTAATTTTTATATTTCTTTAAGAATGTAACTATTTAAACATTAAAATAAAATTAAACTTTGATTTCTTTTACTTAAAGTCTATGATAACTGACAAATGAATAGGTTCCAAAAGTTTATAATCAATATATTCACATTATTTTAACAACTTATATATTACTTTGTTTTCAATAATGAAAACAAATTTGACCAGCCAGTTTAAGTAATGGGTTGATTCAACTCACTATACATAGTTTGATGTTTAACAAAGTCATAGAAGAATATGCCTTCTACCTTTAATACGATTTACCAAATTGCATATTTTAAGTGCTGGCCCAAGTTTCAGTCCCATATACTTCATCATCATATCAGAATTTAAAAGTAATAAAGCTTTCCCATCAATTTCCTGAAAATAAAGCATATGTATGTATATCATTATTACTAAAACTCATCAGTAAAACACATAACGTTCACTGAAAGTAAAATGTAAATAGCTTACGTGTTTCCGGAATAAATCTGCATGTTGCCCTAACGCAGGATCAGTGACACCAATATAATGTATTACATCTTCGATAGTCCATTCCGCTGGTTCAGTAGAAGCTGTACGATTCATAGAACTTTCTGACTGAGTGGTTGACGTTGCAGCTTCAAGTTCTATAATCGGAATAGTAATAATATTTATTTTACTGAACTCTTAGCGAACGATCGATTAGGTTACAATAATATATCGTAAAGGAACGTTCAACTGGTTACCTGGAACGGATTTCCTAGGTTGTTTCATAGCTGTTGGGGACGACAGTGTCGAATTATTCATACTTGGCACAGAATTCTGTTGTATTTGCTGTTGCTGGATACTCGACGATAAATTTTGTTGACTTTGAGATTGCCATCTTCTTTTCTCTGCGGTAGTAGTGCTATTAGTTGTACCAGTGCCAACTGTTTCTTCGCTGTTCGTAGATTGTGGTTGCTGGGTATTTGGACATTTATTACAAGATTCCTTTCTCCTGAACAACATGTGCTCGCACGCGCAAAGATCTTCAAGTTGCCGCCTTATGTATATGTAAAAATCCTCCTCCTCCATAAATATTGGTAACCTAACAGAAGTAGGTTTACTCTCTAAAATTAAGCTTATGGTTTCTCCTTCACCACGTTTTAATAAGCTTAACATTTGTCTTGGACTCATTGCTGCCATCAGGAAAGCTTGAAATATATCTCTTGTAACATTTAATATGGGACCGGTGCCAAATTGTGCTGGCATAGCTTTTACTTTACGAGGATCAAAGTAAGGACCACAAGTACAATTGTGGTTTACATAAATTGTAACTGTAATATAATAGAAGTAATGAGTCAAAAAACAATAAGTAAGCAACAAAGTATATATTTGCAGATATATTAAAGTTTACCATTCTCTAGAGAATGTGGTTTGGTATTAGCTGTACTAGTATCAGGTTCTGTAGCTGGTTGCGGAGGAGCACTGGAACCTGCAGGGCTTACCAAAGCAACGGCTGGTTCTCCGTTAGTGCCTCCACCAGATATCGCCATTACCGGTAAGACATTACTGGTCCTTGATTTAAATCTGTTAGGCCCTGTTGCTGCAATAATTCGTGTATATCGTTAATGTTAACAGTATCATCATTATAATGCACATACACGCATATCAATATGTATTTTACATTTTTGTCTTGGAGGCTGTAACGGATGACCACTTTTAAAACACCATCCAGCAGGAAAGATATCCCTAGAGTCAAAGCGGCACCAGTAATCGAAAGCACCCCTCCAGCCGTCGAATGTAATGTGAATCATATCGTCTTTAACAGCGCCAACAGTTGCTGTGCATATAAGTTGCGGATTCTTTTTATCTATGGCTTCTAATTTATGCCCGACTTCGAACATATTGGAACGCGGTGTTTTCGGTTCACGTTTGAATACTTTTGCAGGTGCCATCTCTGCCCCGTTTAAAGTCTTTAAAAGAAACATGGGCCAACTGGAAGCATTCATTCGGAAGCCTAACGGGGGCTGTAACATGCCACCAGACTTTTCGCAATGGCCGATGGGATGAATTTCGTTGCTATCAACCAAACGCCAAAAATCATTTTTATTATCCGAGCCATCCAGTCTTAATCTGAGTCGCGGACCGAGAACACCGACTACAGTCGCAATGCAAGTCGATGTTAAGTTACGAGGATCAAGGGCTTCCAACTTCATACCCATTTTGAATTCGTTAATCGGTGGGACTTCATGCTGAAAGAAAATTTCAATATTATAATCCGTATTTTTTGCTTGAAATTTTATTTCGTAAATGATTGTACCTGTTTAAAGCATTCGATAGGTGCAGCTTGACTATTTGTTTCTTTCAAGTAGAGATCCCAATCAAAAGTTTGATATGTTTCGTACTGAAATGGACCAGTAGAAGTCGAGGGTGGATGAGACATGGCTGTATGGTTATTAGCATTTGTGAAAGACTGAGTTGTAGATGGAACATTATTTCCACTTAACAATCCTGGTGAAATTGATGGTGAAGGTGATGATTGGTCCCTATTGTCTAAGGAAATTAAAAGAAATGTTAATATATAATATTTCTTAAACAATTAAGATAAACAATATTTGAGCAATATAAAATTGACATAAATCACTAACTTTTCTTTGCTTCGGTTTGTCCCTCTTTCTTCTGATGTTTATTTAAACAAAACGAAGAACAAAAATCTTTCGTCGGTCCATCTTTCTGTTCCAATCTCACCGGTGTACCTCTAATAACGTTGTCACATTGAACGCAGGCTCCTCTCACATAAGCTTTGCGAAATTCGGATAAACAGGTCTCAGAACAAAATTCTTTTTTCCCGTGTTGCGTAGGAAGAACATATTTCAAAGGCTGTTTAGTTTCTCCGCACCATGTACAAGAGTTTTTTGATTTTGGTGGTCTTCCTGGACCTGCATTTGAAATTGAAATACTTCAATACCAACTTGATATATTCAGCACAACGTATACAGTCCAAGCACATTGTATCCATGAGAGAAAATAATGGAAAAATGTACTCAAATCACATATAAAGTACAGAAAAATATTAAACCATAATATTTCTATACCTCGCATTTTGCTTTGTGTAGACGACATAGTTCTTCATAGAAAACTGGTGATCAACACTAAGCCTCACTGCACAACGATACTAGTTTAATTCAGTAATTAGGGACATCTTTGCGTCTATTAATAAAATAAATTTTGGAAGCACTATTCAGTTTTAAATCGCGGAACCTTTGCCCACGACCGGCTCGTGACCACGTTTCGCTTGATATTTCTACGCGGCAACGTACTTTCGTGTTAATTTTCAACCAAAGAATAATTTAATAGAACTGCGGGACGATTATTTCGTTACAATCAAAATAATATATTCCGTATCAAAAATTATTATGTCAAGCCGCCATATTGCTTTGATTTGGCCGCGCAATCCTTAGATAAAAAGGTAGTAGAAAGGAGTCGCTAAATGAATATCGATACTTTAATGATACATAGTGTAACCTGTGTGCTATTGCGAATTTCGCAGAAGTAAATAATGAAGCTGGATCTAGCGAAATATACGAACAAAAATGAATATTTTATTTATATTCATTTTTACATAAATCGCAATACGCATCTCTTATTTTTTTTATCGACAACGTTTCAACGTTCGTTTAAAATTCATCGCCTGAAAAGTCGCACCATAAATATCAAGGTTTAAGCAGTTTATTTGCGCAGTTACGTATATTTGTGAAACGTTCGCGAAATAAAAATGTAAATTATAATGTAACCCGTAGAAATATTCGATTCGGATGAATATTAATTTAATGCCTGGTTCAACGCGTTTAAGTATTCCCTTTTATATGAATTCGTCACCCGTTGTGAGAAAAGCTTTAACTTTACTATCGTCAGAATTTCAGTTCAAGCAAATGGTATCTCACGGGTGGAGGTCGTTGCGTCAAATTTCACAAATCATGAATGAATTCTAAGTTTTGTTATAAATTTTATACGAAATCGGGATATTGTTGATCCTCGTAAGTCCTGCTTCGATAATTTAATCATTCTCACGTGTTACCGATACTCCGTTCCGCGAAAATTAACGAATTCATCGAGTGTTTTCATAGCATGTAAACAAACACTGAATTACGAAATGTTGTCACAGAATTTATCTGTCGTTATAATCGTGGATTTCATCGGAATCCGTACGCAAAGTTACTTGACTATTCAGATTTTATACTAATTAACTTGATTTTCAAAGAATTAATATATTTTTCCATTCGGAACAGTTACTGTTCATTTTTATGTTTTCCACTTGTCTGTGATTACTTTAATCATAAATATAAGGATATTTTTTATAATATTCTCTGACAAATTGTAACAGTTAATCGATTCGACAGGTCTAAGTGAAAAATAGATGAGTTTCTGTGTATCCAAAATATATAGATTGTCCAGCAATATTTATACGCATTTTGTTGTGCATTTTACACAGTGTAAGTACTCCTCTGATACAAACATCGAACAATGAACGAAGTAAGCGGAGGAAAACAAGATATACCTAATACTTCTTCGTGGGAAACATTATCAGGACAATCCGCATCCTCTTATTCCACCATGCATCACCATCATCAATCATTGCAGCAAGATACAAATCCAACGGTTGCACAAGTTATAGTTCCTACTCCTGTAAAGCTTCAGGCACCTATGTTAAGTTCAGCACAAACTATACCTGACCATTGTTCGCAGCTTGGTCATATTCAACAACCAGCCTTAATAACACAGGTAACGAAATGTTAAGAAAACATAATCGAGTAGTTTAACTTGTGACATTGAGTTGTATCTTAAATTACATACATAGTAGATATTTATGTGTATAATAATAGAATAATTTATTTGTTTTTACATATTCAATGTTTTTATTTGTTATATTTTAATATACTATTATAAAACAGTTGATTGTCGATATGTTTTCTTTGTTATGGAACCTTAATTGTGTACCGAATAATTTGTTTATCAAACATCTTCTTCGAATTAGGTTGAAATTACGACAGAAAGGAATAGCTTTTATTTTACATCTTCGTTTTTGTTTTTATACAGTAGCCAGTTGCTTTTGTATTCCATGCAATCGGAACAAAATATTTAATGGTATATAAATACTTAGTAAATATTGCAGGGTACGCCACCAGGATCTTTCCCAGACTCTGAACTTTCGCCTGAGCTTCAGCAACAAGGATGGAAAAAGTTTTGGAGTAAAAGAGAAAATCGACCATATTTTTGGAATAAATTAACTGGAGAGTCTTTATGGGTAGTACCACCTTTGAAACCTCAGGTACTAAGGTATAGAGTTTACTTATACGTTTCTATAAAGTTATATGCATCAGTTATATTTATATTTTAGTTTGACCCAATTACGGATCCACTCGGTATCTGTGGTGTGCAATCCGTTCCTGGAAATGGAACCATTCCCTCTGGAGGAACAGTCAAACGTAGAGCTTCGGAAGATAGTATTGTCCCAGCTGCGAAGAAATTTGTTTTAGCGTACGTTCGAATTACTTAACATAAAAATTCTATAAACACAGTAATATGTTTTTCAATGCAGAACTTTAACGTATCGCCCTTTTCAATGTTACAATAGGGGTCCATGGGATTTAGAGATACCGACGAATGTTATAATATATGAAAGAGCACCGTCGAATTTACCACACGTTCATCCAGAAGCAGAAGCACTACGTTGTAGTTTGCTGGCAAAATTGAGACAGTGTTATCAAGAATTGTGTCATACCCGTGAATCGATTGATGCACCTAAAGATTCCTTTAACCGATGGTTAATGGAAAGAAAGGTTATAGACTGTGGATCAGATCCTCTTTTACCGAGTCAGTGTTTCCCTGAAATTTCTATGTCAATGTATCGTGAAATCATGAACGACATCCCGATTAAGTTAGTTCGACCGAAATTCACCGGTGACGCAAGGAAACAATTGTCACGGTACGCCGAAGCTGCGAAGAAAATGATAGAATCGAGAGCAGCTTCGTCCGAAAGTAGAAAAGTTGTGAAGTGGAACGCAGAAGACACCTTCCAATGGTTAAGACGAACTGTCGGTGCTACATTCGATGATTTTCAAGATCGTCTAGCACACTTGAAACGGCAATGCCAGCCTCATCTCACGGAAACCGTGAAAGCCAGCGTTGAGGGTATTTGTTTGAAGATTTATCACCTGTCGACAGAGTACGCGAAGAAAGTAAAGGATAAAAATAACCAAATATTGAAGGACAACGGTTTAGGGAACGTAATACCGTTAGGAGGACCAGCCAGCACGCAAAGAAAAGTTTGGTGTTACCCAGTGCAATTTTCACTTCCGACTCCTCGCCTTCCACAAATGGATTATCTTCCTGAACGTGAACAAACGTTATTACGTTTCCATGGGGACACTGTGTGCGTTAATAACATGCATCTCGCTAAATTAGAACATCTGTACAGATACAATTGCTTCGACGACAAGAAATTTGAAATGTTTCTACCACGCGTTTGGTGCATGTTGAAACGCTATCAGACGTATCTGGGAATAAACGAAGGCCAAGCGACACAGATGGCCCTCCCAGTTACAGTTTTCGAGTGTCTGCAAAGACACTTTGGCGTGACATTCGAGTGCTTTGCGTCTCCATTAAATTGTTACTTTAGACAATACAGTTCGGCATTCGCTGATGTAGATTCCTACTTCGGATCAAGGGGACCTTTCTTAGACTTCAGGCCTGTCAGTGGCTCGTTTCAAGCAAATCCACCGTACTGCGAGGAGCTAATGGAAGCCATGGTCAATCATTTTGAACGCCTTCTGGCCGATTCAGCCGAACCTTTGTCCTTCGTAGTGTTCTTACCCGAATGGAGAGATCCAGCACCTAATGCTCTGATCAAACTGGAAGGTAGTCACTTCAAACGGAAGCAAGTAGTCGTACCTGCTATGGAACACGAATACAGGCACGGGTTTCAGCATATATTATCCAAGTGGGTGTTACTATTTTCAGATTGATATATCCTTAGTACAATAGTAGAATAAACATTGTTTATTCCAGAAGCGAAGTTAACATTAGGGCAGCTCATGGAACATTGGTCGTGTGGTTGCAAAATGCAGCTGGTGCTTCTCGCTGGGGACCTACGGAGGAAAGAGTCGAAGCGTTGTTGGAAGCGTGGCGTCCAGGAAGGGAAAGAGAACGGGATAGGCAAGAACTTTTATCGCCGCCTAGACAATCTCATCAACAAATACCATCTACACCTATGCCTGTCTTAACAACGCCTACAACGCCAACAGTACCGTTACAGTCACTGTCCACGCATCCCATCTAAATACGATGAACCGCTCAGCAACATAACAAATCACAGAAAGAATAAGTTACAGCCTATAATTTTTCATTCTTTCCCAGCAGAAATTCGATTCTTTTTATAGGGAATGTCTTTGATACATACAACAACTTCGTCGATACATCAATTATTTTTCGTATAAGGGAAATATATTAACAGTACAATGGGTCTTAAGCATCAGTTCTAGGTAGTTTCTTTAAACATACATTAATACTTCAATATTATTAATGGTACTAGTTGTAACATTAATTCATTTCATTTTTAAAAGAAGGTATACTACAGTGCGTTACTCGCGTGAACCAAGCGGCGGGTCTGTCGCTGAAAAATGAAGAGGGGCAAGGGGACTTGGGCGCATGCCCCACCTCAGCTCGCGGCTCGGCCAGTAAACAAAGACGTGACGAAATTCATTCCGACAGTACTATCGGGCCCAGCGTCGCGAGTGGACGGTTCCCCTTGCCCCTCTTCGCTTTTAAACCACAGGCCGGATCAGCTCACGTAAGTAACGCATTGTAGACGCATCGTATACATAGGAATGAGTGTGGTGTGTGCGCGCGTGCTCTGCGTGTGTCTCTATGGTATATTTGTGTGTGAATCCGTGTATATGCGTATGCGTGTTGCGTGTTGTATATATATGTGCAAGGACAAACATCAATTCGAATATTATATTTTATTATGTCGTATAAATTTCATAAAGAATTCTTTCTATTCAAAATAGCAGGAATTTAAAATACTTAAATCGAATAATTCTTTTGTGATGTTTATCGTACAGTGCAATTCCATTAACTGTTTCCATAAGGAATGTTAAGAAAAAAATGTATGAA